TTATGTTCGTTTACGAAATACTGTGGTCGAGTTTTAAGTGCGCAAACAATATGCACAAGAGCATCTGAAAACCATCGTCTAAAATATGCTGAAATAATGCATATATTATGCATCCCACGGTAAAATATGAATTTATGCGCACGTTGAGGTGGTCCGGCAATTCTGGCGAACGCTCATGTTTCTGTTTTCTTGACGTAACACATGGTTTTTCTGCCTGTTCGTAATTTTCGCAATACGATTTGATTCGAAGAAATATCTCGAAATACGTTTCTATTCGTAAATGTATATCACGTTTTATCACGATATTTTTTTTACATTTACTGTTATACAATCAACAATATTAAATAATTCAAATATAAATTACATTTTAAAACGCAATCAGTAAATTTTATTTTCGTAATTTTTATTACAAATTATGTAAATACATACAATTCAATACATATTACAATACAATTCTTTCATGTGAATCGCACCGTATTTTACATAATTTGTAACTATGTTGAATATATATCACATTCCCCGCTTTCCCGTCAATCTTCTCGCAGATTTATTTAAAAATATTTAGAATTTTTCCAAGAAAAATTAAATTATAAATTATAAAGAAATTATTCATTAACATTCTTCATTTCTATGCATTGAAAAATTTAGTGTTTCAATTTTAAATTATCGATTTTGTTACATACTACTTGTTACATATATAACATATTTCATAATGAATATTTAATATTCCATTTAAGAAATATTTACAAATGTTCCTGGAAAGAAAATCGTTCTGAATCCTTTTACAAAAATTCCCAGCAGCTACAAAGAATATAATCGCATATTTATGCCATTTAGTTAAGGGTTAAAAGTCGGTTTCGGGGAGCAACGAGATTTGATTACAAGCCGCGAATACCGGTCGCCGACGACGATTATGAGCGGGAAAAGTACCGCGGGAAGAGGATCATCGCTATACTAGGAAAGGCACTAACTTTCCAACCAAAACTGGTCCGCATAGGTATTAAGAAGCGACGCTGGTCGCCGTTAAAATTTATATATTCCTCGGTTTAACCGCGAGCCACTCGTAACAGAGCCCTCAAAACGTTACCGCGTTCTCGTCCCTTTCAGGGCAAAAGATGCGCCGCAAAGCAGTTTAATTGGCGATCATATCGGATGCTTCGTCGTCGTTACCGAAAAATTAGGGCTCGCGTAATGTGCGAAACGCGTTATTGTTCCGTGGAATCAAAATGATAGAAAACAACCTGTAAAGTATTTTATCGATAACAAAAATAGTTAATTGTTTCGAGAAATTTCACGGTAAAATTGTTATAAAAATTTCTGTGTATTTCAAGTATCTTTTTTTTTTTGTATTAACTAGAAATGAGATGAATATGCGGGAAGAGCAATTTTGTTGAAGTATCTAAAAATATGACCAGATATAGATCCAAAAATAATTTGGCCTATTAAAATAATTATGTGAGACGCTTAAGCATGGTATGGATAATACTGCACAAATTTTTGATATTCTAGCGATACCAATTTGAACATTCTACATAATTATTTCCCAATAAAATTATTTTCTCCGTATCTGTGCAAAATTTTAGCTACTTCAGCAAAATTGTTCTTTCCGTGGAATAAAACAACTGAGAGATATACATCTTATAGATAAATGGCGTATTTTATCAAAAGTATTATCCAAAAATGAAATAAAAAATTTTTTTAGATAAAAGTGACTAATGCGACATCGGAAAGTTAAGCCAATAATTTATCATTATTACCGAAGATTTCTAAACGTGTAGATATTTTAAATGACATTCGTGATGACACCCAAATTAGTATCGTGTCAGTCAGGCTTTGGCAAGCCCGCTAAACCGATGGCAAACACGCACTTTTCACAGCAATAAAACTAGGAATTATCGTAGGACGCGCGTGTCGGGCGTGTGGGAATGAAAAATTCGGAACATATGTATCCTACAATACTCTGAATGTGTCATCGTTTAACTTTGACCATTAACCGCCATTCTCTGCTTCCAGTATCTCGATCGCGCTATTGCAATCGAGTACCGACAAATAAACGACAACGATTAAACGGCCATATATTGACGTTGTACATTTTTTGTGTATTAGAATAAACATATAAACGCAATAATCAATTCTCCAGATAAGCAATGTTCAAGTTGCTTTAACTTTTTGTACATTTTAAACATTTTTTTTCATATAAAATATATAGAACATATAGAAACAAGGCCCGATTCGCATCCGATTGTAATTTTGACTTTAAGCAAGACTTAAACACGTATCTGTCTTTATTTTTCTTTCTTTCCAAATAAAGACAGACATATATATATATTCAAATCTTGCCTGAAAAACCAAAGTGACGTTGGTGCAACCAGAGCACCTAAGCGCTCTTTTCGTTTTTGCAAACAAATTCACCGTTCATCCGGCAATCTGCTGCCAACGCAGCTGAGAATCACTGGGCTTAAAGCGTCAGATACCGGTGCATTCACCTTATGAAAGTCATTAATCTTGAGGGACGCAGAGCTGGCCAATTAACAGAACAGCGGAATCGGGGAATGGCTAAGGTGGTAGATACTGATTCCGATCGATTTTCGGGCTTAAGTCGCAACGGGCGTGCGGGTGCCGCGTCGCGCCGCTGCGGCGAGTCGAGTTATCGATCCGCTCTCCGTTCGTTCCCGCGAATTCGGCGTGCCGGCCAGCCGACGCGACGGTCCATCGATCCCGCAAATCCAGCTACCAGATCGACTTGCGCGTTTGCACGGACTAAGCCCACGAGCTACTACGATCATCTTCCCGTCCACAAATCTCCTAAGACCCGGCCCGTAACGCTCGCGCCGGGCCTTTCGCCAGCTGCTTGCTGACGCACCTGATGCGCCTGGTGCGATTGTGCAACAACAATTGCAACGCGACGCACATCGCGAAATCACGAGATGAAAGCCGCCCCGCTTGACAAAGTTCTAACTCGTTAATCTCGATCACGTAGATATAGATCGACGCTCTCGCATTGCTCTTAGATATATCTATATATGTTAATTTTTTAGATCTTCAATCAGCCCTGCGTCTCCAAGTTCAAACAAAATATTCAACGCGCGCTATAAAGTGAGTATACATCAAATATTGATATTTCCTTCCTTACTTATTTTTGAAATGAATTATCGGTGATCGATATACCGCGGGTTTCCGTTATCCGAAACGATCTCGCATTTGCCGCAGATCATGTATAACTTAGCGCTCTCGATTCGAACAAACAAATTATATTTTAAACCGCAGTGCGGTTAAAGTGCAATGAGATACATTTGCACGTTTCATCTATTAAAACAGTCATTTCAAATTTGTAATAAAACGATCATTTTTCCGTCGTCATCCTTCCGATTTTTATGTACTTTAATAAATTAGGCGAGATATCTATCTCTCTGAGTGTCAGAATCGTTAATCGCGTGAGATAATTAATCGCCCCATATCGTATCAATCGTTAATACTTTACAGAAGATAATCGCGTTTTTCTCTCAGTATTCTCGGTCCCGCTCGTCTCGAAAGGTAATGCGACACGAAGTGACGTCACTGCTCGCCAGCTCGAATCTCGACGAGCGAATGACATCACAGATGTGTTGTCACGCTCTTGCTCACGCGATGATGGCATCATGTACACAATATAACAAACATCAAAACATGTACTAACTAACATTAATATCTTGAAAGACTTAACGTTTTAATTTCATTTCAAATATTCTGTTTCTTACATTTTTAATTTCGCCAAATAAGTTATAATGTGAGTGAAATTTAATGTTTACCTTAAAGTTTTACTTTTTGATGAAAAAATAATTTGTATATAATTGTCATTTAATTACTGTTTTCTGAACTTCCACGTCGAGAAAAAAATACGATTTCGATAAATCTAGAATTGCGATTGTAATCGATCACACATAACATGAAAGAAAGTAAGATCGTTGCGCAAAATGTGACGACTTTCTTTATTTAAATTGTATAATTTCCATTTCTTAAAAATGTAAATACTTAAAGTAAATATAATAACTTGATAATAATAACTTGATAATAAATTGATATATGTGTTTATATTTACAAGTACATGTACGTAAACTTCAGACTAATATGCAATATCATCGATCAATTTTTCTCATTTATAATTCAAAACCTATACTTTGACATTTTATGTTTTTATTCTTTTTAGGATCTCGAAATTTTCTATTCTAATTATTATCCGGCATACGCTATTAAAGTAATATGCATGATTGAAGACATTCTATATAGTGACTACAAATAAAGTAACGTTAATTTAATCAAAATAATTCAATTGAAATAACCTCATAAATTTTAATGATTGTGATGAATCAAACTAAATTGCAATCAATATAATTAAATTAAAATTACTCTTACCAAAATTGCTTCGATCAAATTACCTGTTATTATTATTTTTTCATTACGCGATTCGTCGAAAATTACCGATGCCACTAGACACTATTTAACGAAAATTAATTATGCATTTCGGATCTGATTATCAGCGCGAGCAGGTCGTTCTTCACGTTAATTATGCTTTCATTCGTCCATTCTCGCTTGGGAATATTTGACCATGGTATAAGTCGAAAATAAGTTTTCATTTCGAACAAATTCAATCGTGCTGATTCTTTCTCATTTGCGTTTAAATGGAACGAAGTAATCTCCCGCAATTTATCCTTTACGTAACATTCCTAATCTGGTATATATACCTCATATTTCATAATAAATATCTTCGCATAAAGACGCGAAATTCAATTATATACGGCTAATTGTATTCGAACATAAAAGAAGTCATTCGCATTAACCCTTTCGGTTCTCGTGCCAATTTCATTGATTTTACAGCGATATCTGGCTAATATAACTCTTTTTGGTATTACATTATAAGTAGGATGAGTCGGGAAAAAAAATTTAACCGAGAAACGAGAGTCTAAAGGCGAAAGGGTCAAAGGTATGACTGCCGCGGCAATGAAGATGGCGGGTAGGCCTACCTTGGTCGAATACAAGGCAGCGGGTGGTCTTGGCAGCGAGTCCCGGGGGCAGAGCGAACCTGTAGGCCGGGCCCGGCGACAGCCCCAGCCCCAGACCGAGCGCCTCCGCGCCGCATCGGCCCCCGAACACAGGCCCCACTAAAATCACCCATATAACAATGGTCATCAGTTATCATCGTCATCATCAAGATAAGCAGACACAGAATTAATCATCAATTAGCAAATTTTTTTTTTTTTCATGCACGGAGGAAGGCACCCGACGACACTTTCAGGCTGACAGGCCGACGACACCCCGCGATTGGTGGTAAACTGTGAAGCAAGTGGCGAAAGCAGCCTGAAAATCCCGAGGAGTCCTTCGCTCAAATATAATTATTTTTAATTAAATGAAATCATTAGAGTGAGGTTTCCCAATATATATTAAATAGATATTTAAGGTACCAAAATACGAATAAACGATTAAATTGTGCGTTACATATGGTTTAGTAATTAATATTAATAATAATCGTCAATAAATCATAAAAATAAGAAAAAGTCGTGCAATAAGAGTCAAAAACCAATTTAAAAGAATTTAAAGAATTACAATAGAGAACGGAATGAAAATTATTCCGTATTTGCGTTAACGGCTTCAGATGTTACATCATGCATTAATTCGCAGGATGAGCGAACAGTCATCTTTTAAATTGTATCAATTAAAATTCGTAAAAAGATACTTAATAAAATACTGATGCATTGATCAATCAAAGGCTCTAATGATTCTTTAGCATATAATTTATTATTTTTTCATTTGATGTGTGGAATTTACAGCTTTAAAGCTTTATCAATCACTAAGTTTCGCAAAAAGTTCGTAAAACTTCCTGCTTGCTCGATTCAATTACGCGTCGCACTCGTAGATCCCTAAATATACGTAGCGAATTATAGCGAGATCAAAAGATGGAGCACCAATATGCCCTCAAAGGCCCTCGTCATTTTGCCTCCCGATGGCTGTATTATGATCCCATATAGATATTACGCGTTGTCATTACGAGATAAGTTCCCGAAGGAGTTTATTGCTTTTTAGTATACATTCAGCACGTGCCGGACCATCGACCGTCAACAACCCCCCTTTAACTCCTCGTGCAATCGCCTACATTCTTGTCCCTTCCTTCACCGCCCATCGAATATCATATCCGTACGAACAAACTAATTTGAATTCCAGATAAAAGAATATATACCAGATAAAAATTTAATCAGATTCTAATTCCAAGTATATCCCAAAGTTAAATATGAAAAAGTTCTCATTCACGTAGATTATAAATAACCAAAAGGTTGATATAAAAAAAAAAAGATATAGCGAAAATACTTCTGATTGAAAATAAATATTTGATTTAAATTAAAATAATTAGCTTAAATAAACATTTTATTCGCATAATTTTCTATACGAGATTAATGATAAGCAAATAAGACAATACGTCAGAAAAAATAAAGATAAAACAAATTCGTTCGGCATTAACCCTGGTTTATGGCGGAACAGAAAACTTTTCTTGGTCTTTCGAGAGAGACAGAGAGAGAGAGAGAGAGAGAGAGAGAAAGAGAGCGAAGAGAGAAGTCGAGATGTACCGAAAGTGGCTTCCAGCATCTATTCGAATCTTACGAGAAGGAGAGGGGAAAGTAGCGCACAATGCTCGGGCCATAATCTAAATTCATGTCTGACGGGATCCTAAGGTGGATAAGTACATCGAGCATAATGGCGACGACTTAACATACTTTTTAAATTGCGCCTTTGAGATGCAGAACGGTGGCCCGTCGTGCGGAGGTGGATCCCTCCTCCTCTCTTTCTCGTTCACTTTTGGCCTTCTGGCTTTAGTAGCTTACACGCTGATTAAGACACCCGATACAATTAGGCGGCGAAAAGAACCTCAAAGACGTGCGTGAGGGGAAGCCGCTAACCTTTGCATGTTCCACGAAGATAGATGTATAACGGGTGTCCATAAATAATGGTTGGCATTTTTATTAAACGGATAAACGAAAGAGAATAGTAACGAATATATATCTGATTGTTTCGCGTTTGTCTCAAAATTGCCCTTTCACACGAATGCACGCTAGAATCATCATCAGATTTAGAATGAAAGTTTTAGAATGAAAAGTAATTAAAGGAATTACCTTTTTCAACTTTTTAAAAATTGACAGCACTTTTTTTCATACACAATCGAATCGTTCCCTCGAATAAAAATAAAACCTTTTCGAAAAGTAATTTAACTTTTTGCGATTACGTATACAAATCACTCTGTTCGATATATACCGAAAAGGTTAATGCCAAAGCATTAATTTCGCGTGTTTCAGTCGAGCTCGTCAAATAAACGAACGACGACGAGCAGCTGCGGGTTTCTACGTCACGAACGATGACGGACCCCAACGAGCACCCCGAAAAAGGTGACGCGCGTCATTCCACGCCGATCGATCGTCATTCGGTTGCGCGTTCGCGAAATGATCGCGCTCTCGCTCGATGATCCGCGTTGACGGTCGAAAAACTTTCACGCACGTCGAGCACGGTGCAGCATGATCGAGTATTATCCGTCGCGTTCGCGTCGCTTTCGAAAATCATGTAATTTCAACGAGTTCATAACGGAAGTCTTGCGAACGAGCTTGACTGGAAAATGGTGAAAATTTATGAACTACCATGCGATCGTAGTTGACGAGCAAACTCGAAAAGTAAACTGTACTACCAAAAATAAAGAAATATAATATAACATTTCAAAGAAATATATGAATAATATTATCTTTTAATTAAATTTTACATTTAATTCTAAAAGAATAATATTTCTAATCGTTTTTTTTTTTTATATTTCATGTTTTTTATTTTTTCAACTAACATTTTAAACGACGCTAACCACAGATACTAGTACTCACAATAATCTTTCGGGAAAATATAAAAGAGAAAAATTTAACATTGATATTGTATTGTACATAAATTGTACTTTTAACACTTTCTGAAAAAGCAAAGAAGCTTTATAAAACGGACACCCTGTGGACGAAGTCAGGTGTATAGCGCAACGAATCGGCTCGTTTAAGCCGCGCGAGTCAAGACGGCGATGAAAGCCGCGGACTTTGTTAACGTTAATCCTCGCGCGGGACTACCGTGCATGCTCGGCTTCACGGCCAAAAGGTTCGTCTCGCCAATTACAAGCGTGAAAATCGTCATCTCGAGGATAATCGGGGGAAATCAGCAATCACCCGTCGCGAACAACGCGCCATTAGCGTCTTCGCTTACGATTCGGTGAACATTTCAATCGCTCGTTGCGAGGCTGTTTGCAGTTTTTTTGCAAACAGCAGATTATCGGTTATGAATGATATTACGTATTACGAATTAAATGGCACCGATGTAACACTCGATCGTTATAAAAAGCGATCAAATACAGCTTCTCGGCATAAATATTAGCTATCAAGAATCCTAAATACAAGCAACAAAGACAACCGAAGACGAAATTCGATTCGAAACTCTTGCTTTTTTTATCGATATTATAACAGATGTCATCTTGAAATGATGAAATCGTCGGAAATCTCGTATACCCGAGGTCTCACGATTTCTGAGATGAGCCTGGAGGGCAAGTTCATTTTCAGAAGTCATGAGAACGGCGAGTCAGCAGTAATGCGGCATGTAACGTCTGCTGCATTTGTGGCAAGGCGACTGAATATGGTTACGCGTCGCGGTCAAGCTCGACCGGACTCTCTGACTAGAAGTGTCTCTACCTGTCCACCCGGTGGATCGACGAGGCCGCGCATGAATGAGGAAGCGACGAGGAGGCGAGACGACCGCCGTACATGGGCGTAGACGAGACGACGAGCCGTGTACGATCCGTCGACGAATCGATATCGACATACACAGCTGACAGCCACGATCCCTTGCGATCTTAATCTGACCGTCTTCGCAAGAAGGGAGATCCGGCGATCCGGCCGGAGGTGGGCCGGAAAAAAATCACAGGGCACCACGACGATCCGAGCGAGCCGGAATCCGTCTGTCGGTCGGCCAACCGGATCAAGACACCCTGAATAATTCATCGCCGAGAGATCGAGCGCGGGGTCCGACGACAGGGAGGCGAGCCTCCCCCTGCGTGTTTGCGCTGCGCGTCGAGCGCGGCGCCTACCCTTTCCCTTTCCGACGCGACACGAGGCGGCGGTGAAGGAAATTTACACGCTGTATTTTCATGATTATATTTCGGGAGGGGGGAGGAGAGAGAGAGAGAGAGAGAGAGTCACGTAAATTTTGTTTTCTATCTTCTTGTTTTCTATCTTTGCGTGACAAACATAATCATCCGCAAGAAAAGTCATACAAGGCAATTTGATATTTTCGTTTTTAAATAATACGAGATATATCAGGTGGTATAGTATTTTTTTTTTGTATTAGTTATCCAAGCAAGATCAAGCTTTGTAGCAAGCGTCGCATGTAGTAAAAACGCATTTCAAGATATGAATACGCGTAGAAGGCTGTTAGCAAGTTAGTTGCGAAGAAAGAGGAAAATGAGAAGGGTAAGAAGAGCGGGAAGACTCGAGACTGAAACGGGAGAGAGTGGATTGGGTTGCAGCGAGTTAACCGGCTCAGTACTCGGCGTGAGATCCTGTTAGACAACGATGTCAAACTGACGATACGATGCATGAGACTCGAGACGAGATGGGAGAGCTAAAGGAGAAACCACGAGAAAGAAGAGAATAAACCCGAAGCACTCGCGAATATTAAAGCTAATCCTTGGACGTTAATACCAAGAAATAGAGTCATCGTGTTCTTACATACAAATTTGTTAAATCTTATTAATTAATCCGCATTATGTTGGAAATACAATATTAACTTAGCTTTCAAACATGAAGAACAGAAAATTCCTCTAATTTCTTTAAATATATGACCGCATAGCAAAAAATATTTAATTTATTAGATATTAAAACTCGCGTATTATTTTTTTTTTAATATTAAATATGTAAAAGAATATATTTTATATTATACGATTTATATGAATATATGATTAAAATCAATCCGTTCTAAGATTTGATTACAATGTTAACGAATATGCAACATTTATATTTTATGATAAATTATACCATTATATTATATATTATGTACCATAAAAATAAAATCTGCGGGTAAAAAACAAACAAGAAAGAAAACAGAA